ATTTGCAATAATTTCCTTTTATTTTGACAAATTCTACTGCTATATACTCTATATTCTACTTTATTATTTCTATTCAGTGATGGACTAACGCTAAAACGAACCAATGGAACATTGTAATTCCGGGCATATTTTTCAGTCATGAGACATACTTTGCGTTTGGTAGTTTGGTTTAAAAGTATACATGTAATATGTACTATTAAATCACCGGATTCCAAGAAAAATAAATAAATAAAGATTATTTATTAAATCAAATAAACATAAACATAATTTATTAAAACAAACAATAATAATAAAAAATATACCCAAATTTATATTGCCTTTTTTCTCAATCTTAATTCTGCAAACTCGTCAGTTAGTTTGTGATAATAATTCATTGAGTTATTTATTAACTCTTTTCCTATATGAAGCAGTAATAAACTACTTAATTTTTGTTGGCCTAATGTGGATCTTTTCAAAAATAAAAAAAAATTATTCTGGATTCTGGCCATTACCGAGAATGATCTTTCACAGCTTGAGCTTGAATTGCTTTTTGGAATGGTTAAATATATGAACGGTTGAATTAAATGAACCTAATGGATACAGATATAATAATATTTTCTTATAAAAGTTTTTAATTGTAATACTTACTTCATTTTTCAGTTATGTTACGTTTAAATCTTGTTCATAAGATTTCAATTCCTCATTTGAAGAGTTACTAACATCATTCACGAAAAATTGTTTTGAATTTATTGTTAATAGTTTTACATCCCTCAGTTCTCTTTTAATGTTGCTAATTAAAGACTCGCATACAGCATAAAAAAATATTAACTTTAAAATGTTTTTTGTCATTGAATCTTATTTCATGTTCTGGAATTTTATCATGAAATAGTTTTCGTATTTTCTGCCGTTTTTCATTATTAGTATTTGCAATATCTTTAACTTTTTCTGCTTCTTTTTATAAATTGTCAAAATCATCTGTAACGGTTTGTATAAAATCTATCAATAAATCATATATTAAAACTTATCTCTCTCAAATATTTTTCTCATATAATAAGTAACAGTATGTACTCAAATGTATCAATTTTTTTATTTTAACTGGCATCTCCGGACCTTTTTATTGGTTTTTCATCATTGTTTAAGTAAAGAACGTAAAAAATGTTTAATTTCTTCATAATGTTCCTTTAAGGATTTCACAGTATTAGAACGAGTAGACCACTCGGTATCACAAATAGGTTGAATAACCAAGTGTTTGTTCTTACAATATTTTTGTAATGCATTCCGCCTAGATGTAGAGCTTGAAAAAAAATACGTATAATTCCTGACGATATTGATGATATGACAACTGAAAGTTGTCATTTCCATGCAAATTTCTGCGACAGTGTTTCCAATTAAAGTTAATGAATGATTTGAGCATGGTATAAAATGGGCATAAAAATATGGGCATAACGATTATATCTGTCACAGTCACAGGGTCAATACCTATTTCTCTATACATTCTGTTTCTTTCCACTGTATATTTATTACACTCCAGTATTGTGTAAGTAACAGGATTGGAACATGTTCCATGAGCATTTACGTGTTTCTACAAATATGGATCAAACTCGAATAAGTATTCCAAAGCACTTATATAATAATTACCGTTTTTTCATTAAAAACCACTTTATTTTCACCACAAAACGTTAAAGAGTATAAAGAAATAAATTTGATGGTCGCTACCCCTGTAGCGTTGTAAATTTTCATTTTTTTGTAGTACGCCTCTAGTTGTTTATCTCGGTCAGTTAGCAAGTTTTTTTATATAGTTCGACGGAGAAGTTAAATGTATGTTTTAAACGTATTGATATTCGTGCTAGGATATTTCAAGTTTTTTTGACGAGATAACATATATATGTTTTTATCTTTGTTACAATGTTAGGTAAAAACTCCGGTTTAAACTGCGTGTTGTTTTTACCAAATTTGAAGGTAACTATTTCAACAAGTTTTTTGTCGCCGAAAACGATTATATTACATGAATAATATTGTTGTTGTAAAAAAGAGGTTTTATTGTCTTTCGTCGTTAACGAATATTAAAAGGAATATTGTTTGTTTAGATTAGGTAGACCACAAACTAACTGGGGAGGTAAGGGGGAGTTATTTGGCGTTCGAAAGAGTCCAAGAAAATATTTGAAACTGGGCAGATGAGTGACAATGTAGAAAGTCGGTAAAGAGACCGGCCAAAAAGTGTTGAAAATAGTAGACTATATTCTATGTATTATGTCAAATTTGAAAAGAGTAATCACTATTTTCATTTTTCTAAGTACCTAAGGGATTTGTGTTGCCTGCAAAAATTTTCGAAAGATAGCCACATGTTGCCGTTGTGTCCAGTTTTATGTATTCCTGTTTTTTAAGAAGCCCATTCCAAAGCTTTGTGTTGCAAAATTTTTAACCTCAAGTTTGTAATATTTGTCCTAAGAAGCCATCCCAGAGTATCTCTCACAGTATGGAAATAGATTTGATCGTGTGGCAGAGAAGGTAACCCGAAAAATCTTAGTGTGTTTAGTGAAACCAAGGTAACCTTTTGTTGTTTTAAACTTTTGAAGGAAAATAAACATTAAAAGAATAATTGCTTTCATACAATTTAAAAGTTTTAATAATTAATATTGTAAATCTTAGAGTGTGGTTATGCTCTCAATTTGATTTGTTCTCCGTTGTAAGTAAGATTAAGATTTTATGTTGACAGCTAGTAGCTAGCATTATTATTTTTTTTTTGACAATAATTTGCTTTGGTTTTTTAAAGAAGATTAATCTCTCTATGAATGTTTTCATTTTAAAGATATTTCTTTATTTGTAATAAATTATTTCTGACACAGTTGTATTAACAGTACAACAGTTAATATTTCAGTAACATTTGTAAGTTTTGTAGCAATCCTTTTGTAAACAAATAACACGTAAGTTTTTGTTAATTTGTATTATGTTATATAGTATGTTTCTTGTGTAAGATCTGTATTTTTGATGTTTGTTTGTTTGAGACAAAAATAAACGTTTTATTTGTTTCTCTGATCCATTTTGTGTTTTAATTTAGAAAAGTCTCCTAATCCTTGTATGTATTTTTGATTTTAGGGAAGAAGAATTTTTTTCTTTTTCCAACAGGAAGATTTCTTCAAAGCAGCGTCCAAAAAGAAAATAGCTAGAGGTAACCTTATCTGTCATATCTTATTCGTTTTTGACCCAGGAGATTTATGTAAGTATCCCTTTGTTTTCATTTACTAGATACCCCAATCCGACCCATTTTCTTTCAACTTATCCACGACCCAGCTCTCCAACAACCATCTGAGTGCCGTACGAACTAGTTTCGATTTATTTTGTTTGCCCAATCTTCTACCCCATGTCCTTACCCTGAGGTAAGCAAAATATATTCGTTACACCCCACGTGTATGTAGATATACTTCCTTCCAATATTTATTATTTGTTTTTCTAGTTTATTGTCAATACGTTCGGTAATTTTAGATCTTGCTATAAAAATTAAAATTGAGTTAATGAGGTCACTGGAGTTTTCATGAAAACTTTTTTTGTTTATTTTTTCAACCATTCGTCCCCTTTATTATTAGCCTTGCTTGAAAAATAATTTAGAGAGATATCATTACAATAAGTTGTGGATTTTCGTTTCGGCCAACCAATCTTTTTTAACTTTCTCCCTGCTATTAATTATTGTTCTGACGAAGGAGGCGTTAATTTTATTGTGATTTGTTTTGACCCTTTGTCTTTTGACCTTTTGTTTTATCTTCACGATCGGAATTGCTTGGTTGTTCCTGCTGGTCGTTTTGCAGAATAGTTTCGGACACAAATGATGTTTTTGGAGTTTAGGCAGACAAAATTTTATAAAAATGATGATGATTGTTGTAATTGTCCTCCATCTAAAGTTAATCATTTGTCCAACGATCTTTTCATTTTTAATACCACTTTATCTCGATCTGCTTTTCGTTATCTTTTTTCACTTTCACTAAAATAATATAGAAATAGATTTGTTGTACTCTATTCCATGCCAATTTTGCTAAATTATTCTATTATAATTACAAATAATAAAAAATATATAACATTTGTTTTTAATATTCTGAATATTACAGAAATTTTTTCTTAGAGGGAAATTCATACATCCCAGAGATCTATAGTATCACAAAGTTTGAGTTCTGGGTTTCTGGTTTTCGTGCCTTAGTTAACCTGATATGCCGGAGTATATCTGAAAAATTTTATGACGCATCAGAACATAGCGCGCAGTGCCGTTTTTTGCATTGTCTTACACAAATATTATTTTATCACAAGTCTTTGATGTCTTTAAGAGGCTTTACTGAAAGACGCCAGATATTGACAGAATTATTGTATAAACATTTGGATACTTTCCATTCTTCACTATCTCTTTATTTAGAATAACTATTAGTACAAGATCCTATCTATTTCGTGGAACTCGTAAAAGATAATAATACAACTCTCGACTAAAAGTCTTTTTTGTTGGGGCTCTAAGTGGCAGAATCTTACGTGTTGTTTTGATCTTTTGGTATTAAGTAACTTGTTCCCTGTAGTAATAGTAGAATAACAACTTATATGAATGATCAAAGGGCCTATTGTCAAATTTTTGTTTGAAATGTTTATATCAATTTTTTTTAACTAAACCAACGATTAGTTATTCCCTTTTTAAATTGATTAAAGTTATTAATCTATGTAATTACTCATCGTTATTTTCCTTTAATATTTTAATATTTATGGAGTAAACTTATCTAAAACAAAAAAAAAAGGAATTCGTGTATTTATAAACGCATTCACGTCACGTGATGATCGAAAATTATTTATTTTATATATTAAAACATTCATTTAGCAAACAAAATATGTAATACATTAATATGTTTAGAGAATGACGAACATTTGGATTGAATTAGATTGTTTGGCGCAATGGAATTAATAAAAATAATTCACAAGCTTCTCTGCTTAATACTACATATTTTGATAATTAACTAATTATTAAAAAATGTAAATATTAATTTCAATATTACCTTTAACAAAATCAACTGTTTGATTAGTGTGCATCAGCTCATATGTTTTCCTAACACGTTCTTTAATTGGATCATTTTCGTCGATCGTGTAATCTCTGAACTGACCAACAGGTTTTTTGGCGAATTTTGGCTCAGGCCTGAGTAATTCAGAGGGATCGATAATGTTTACAGGTCCAGTTTCATTCTATAAACAAACAGTTAAAATTAGTGGGTAAATTCGTTGTTTGTGTCGCCTTCGAAAATAAACATTTATGTTTTGACAAATAAAGTTTTTTAAGTGTTAGTAAAATGTATTTTATTTTATTTTAGATTAAAAACTTTATTATTGTTCCTTTTATAAGTTTTAACTAATATTCAAGGATTTAAAAAATTAAATTAATATTACATATTGCACATATACAATCTTATTGGAGCTTATAAATCGCGTTCCGGAATAGCTTGTTCTTTCCGTTTTATCTGCAACTGTGGCAGATATTATAAAATGATGAGGGAGTGAGCATGACATCGTATCATGTTCAAACCAACGAAGACGATAAGAAAGTTTAAGATCGTGAAATGATTCAAGATAACCGTTATTTACCGCATTAACTGTAATTATGTTTCAGTTTATATTGGAACAATAAAACGTAGTGTAAATACTAGTTGAACTGAGTATAAGAGGAACCACCATGCCATCTTGGTCATTAACTCATAAGGAAGGTCTGCATGTAAACAAGATTGGTACTCAACACGAAAACATAAAAACTCGTGCCAGGCAAACCGAATAAATCATTAACGATTCGGACAAACTGAAGATTCCTGGACGAGCACGACGGACCCAAATAGTGCAGATATATATATATATATATATATATATATATATATATATATATATAAGGTTCTTGAACTCCTAAGTGGAGCATAGAGCTTCAGTGAAAACGCGCCATCGGGTTCTATTTTGCGCTAAGGCCTTCACCTCATTCCAAGACTTTCCTTGTTTTCTTATCTCGTCCATGATGGATCTTCTCCAAGTTTGTACTGGGCGACCTTTTTTTCGTTTTCCTTGGGGATTCCACTCTAGGGCAGTCTTTGCAATACTGGAGTTATTTTTTCGGAGTGTGTGACCGATCCAACCCCACTTTCTGAAATTTATTTCATTTACTACCCTCTTTTGTTTGGTCAGGTGTAGTAAGTCTTCGTTTCTGATGATGTTAGGCCAGAAAATACGAACAATTCTTCGTAGACATTTATTAACAAAGACCTGCAGTTTGTCTGTAAGGGTTTTTGTCGCTTTCCAGGTTTCACATCCGTAAAGTAGTACAGACATGACATTTGACTGGAATATGCGGATCTTTGTCCTCGTAGTGTATTCTCCAGACCTCCAAACAGGGTTGAGCATGCTGAAAGCTTGTTGCGCTTTTCGTATCCTCATACGAATATCGTCTTCTGTACCTCCGCTTTCTGTTATGACACTTCCAAGATACGTAAAGTTTTCCACATTTTCAATCTGCATGTTATTAATGGTGAATAGCGTGTTGTTTCTTGCATTTATTCTCATGGATTTGGTTTTACCAATATTGATTTTCAAACCTATTTTATTGGCTTCAGTGGAAAGTGTTTCCAATTGGTCAGCCACATCTTGGAACCTTTGTCCTAACAGGCAGATATCGTCGGCGTATTCTAGATCGCTTAGGCGTGTGGTTAGCGTCCATTGTATCCCTCTTGTGTCAGAGTCTAGTTTGGAGAGAACATAGTCTAGAGCTATGTTAAAAAGAAACGGAGAAAGCACGCATCCCTGTCTGACTCCAGTAAGTACGTCAAATTCGTCACTGTTGATCCCATTGTGTGTCACGCTGCATTTCGCTTCAGTGTACAGTGTACATCAGCTCATATGTTTTCCTAACACGTTCTTTAATTGGATCATTTTCGTCGATCGTGTAATCTCTGAACTGACCAACAGGTTTTTTGGCGAATTTTGGCTCAGGCCTGAGTAATTCAGAGGGATCGATAATGTTTACAGGTCCAGTTTCATTCTATAAACAAACAGTTAAAATTAGTGGGTAAATTCGTTGTTTGTGTCGCCTTCGAAAATAAACATTTATGTTTTGACAAATAAAGTTTTTTAAGTGTTAGTAAAATGTATTTTATTTTATTTTAGATTAAAAACTTTATTATTGTTCCTTTTATAAGTTTTAACTAATATTCAAGGATTTAAAAAATTAAATTAATATTACATATTGCACATATACAATCTTATTGGAGCTTATAAATCGCGTTCCGGAATAGCTTGTTCTTTCCGTTTTATCTGCAACTGTGGCAGATATTATAAAATGATGAGGGAGTGAGCATGACATCGTATCATGTTCAAACCAACGAAGACGATAAGAAAGTTTAAGATCGTGAAATGATTCAAGATAACCGTTATTTACCGCATTAACTGTAATTATGTTTCAGTTTATATTGGAACAATAAAACGTAGTGTAAATACTAGTTGAACTGAGTATAAGAGGAACCACCATGCCATCTTGGTCATTAACTCATAAGGAAGGTCTGCATGTAAACAAGATTGGTACTCAACACGAAAACATAAAAACTCGTGCCAGGCAAACCGAATAAATCATTAACGATTCGGACAAACTGAAGATTCCTGGACGAGCACGACGGACCCAAATAGTGCAGATACTCGAGGATTATTATTTGTGGTTGAGCAGAATAATACGAACTCACTTCTATGTACCTTTTCATATCGCCTTTGGTGCTGTGTACCGCAGTTGAAGACCAGACATTCAAAGAAAAAGCTTCCATATATTTCCACTAAATTGCTGACTGCTGTCAGCAACTAAATTCCTAATAAATACATAGTCATCCTGAAGAAAACTTTACCTTTTTACCTTATTTAGTTAAATTGCTTACTTAAGGCTTGCTCATGCACAGAGGTTTTTGTTTTTTGATGGTTTCCCGATCCTATTGCTTAATTCCTCTTTATAGCAAGGTAACTGCCCTCGATTCAAATTAATATAAATAAATAAAAAACTGAAAATAACCACCTTAGAAACAAATATTACCTTCTTTTCTTCTTCTGTACTTCCAGTACATCAACACCAACCACCAGTGCTAGACAATTATCTTCCCATATCAATCACAAATTCTGTATACACTACATAGAGCCTGCTAAAATATTTGAAAATACTTCTATCTTCCAGAAACCAAATTTGGGTATGTAATTCGTTTTATAGAGAGTGGCATATTAGGTAACATTTATGTTATACCTATAAGATAGCTTTTTTTATAGATAGCTTTTTTGAGACTTGTGCGGAAATACCATTAATGTATGTCAATGATGTACCTAAAGTTCTTATCTCTATTGATATAATTATTATTGATATTATTTGAGGTAATATTCTGTAAGGTTTTGATTTGTAGAGTTGCTGGTAGAATGGTTTTTAATTGCAATACTTTTTTTAATGAGAGGATTGTAAAACTCCGTTAGGCAATTTATGATGATTAAAGCCTTTCATTCCTGATGTTTGCCGCTCTTACTTGAAGCTCTATGATTCGCATCGTATTCTTCGTATTTATTATTAAAGTTTGTTGTATGACTTGACTTACGTCATATATTGTCGATATTTTAGTTTCTGGCTTTCATCTAGTGACCTTTTTATTCAGTAGGTCGTTTTGCTCTCTATGTGTCCCAGCCATCTCAGTCTATTTCATTTACTACAATACTGGCAAAGCTTATATCTTACAAAGCAATAATTATCCTGTTTCTGTATCATTTTAGTTTTCGATACCTATAGTATAACATATATATATATATATATATATATATATATATATATATATATATATATGTATATATATATATATATGTATATATATATATATATATATATATATATATATATATATATATATATATATATATATATATTAAGGATCACTCAGAAGAGTGGTTTCTTATATCGGTCTCAAGGTGGAGAAATAAAAGACAAAGTTGATAGGCTACTTTATCTATTTTGAAGACGTTTCGCTTTCGTATTCTGAAAGCATCATCAGTTCATCTAAAAAGTACAATATGAGAACCACACAATCATGGAAAAGAAATTATAAGTGTTACCTTAAAAAGACAATATTTGTATTATATTATTTAAGCAACAGGTAGTTCACACTAATCTAAGTATGGTGTAGTCTAAGTATTAGTGTGAACTACCTGTTGCTTAAATAATATAATACAAATATTGTAATTAATTCATAGAATCCTTTACAAATTACAGTTCCAATCGTTTGAACCTTGGACTGTGGAAATTATCTTTTCGTTGATCACCTGTGGCGGATTATTCAGCCATAATGTTTAACGTTTAATAATGATATATGAGGTTAAATAAAATTCTCCTGTTTGTTCGTTCTAGACTGGTGAATGCAAGGAATTGCTATTATAATACCAATTTCTTTCATTGGTTTGTCTCTTACAAACGGGTTGTCATCCAAACTCATTTAAACTTTTAAATAGACCGCCCAATTATTTGGTGTGGTACTTCTACCTTATTGTTCTGTCAAAATTTTTGACCTCAAGGTTGGCTGTCTTTTCACGGTTTAGTTTGGTCTGTTTCAATTAACGCCATTTTCCCGGCAGCAGCTGTAAGGCTTTGATCGGTAACTTCATTTACACTACTTTTTAAAATAATTTTTTATTACCATCACTTTAATAATGCTACCTAAAGTTAAAATCAAAGCTAAATAATTATCAAATAGTTGGAAGTAAATCTATGATTTTCTTGGTTCTTTTTCACTACTTAAGGTAAAATAAAATATTACTTATACTTTAGACCACATGGTCAGTTGCTGTGCTAATTTTTTAATAAGTTACTAAATGTTGTTAGTTAATTGATTGTTTATACAATACTACCGTATAATGTCCATTTACTTGAGTTTTATTCACAAACTTGTTAATATCTTTGACTGCTACATGTCTTTTTAAGGTAAAACTTATAACATCTTTTCCATGATTATGTGGTTCTCATATTCTACTTTTTAGATGAACTGATGATGGTTTCAGAATACGAAAGCGAAACGTCTTCAAAATAGATAAAGTAGCCTATCAACTTTGTCTTTTATTTCTCCACCTTGAGACCGATATAAGAACCCGCCACTCTTTTGAGTGATCCTTATAATATATTGGATTTACGGTGGTACTCCTTTTTCCGATATATATATATATATATATATATATATATATATATATATATATATATATATATATAATATATTATATATATATATAATATATATAATATATATATATATATATATATATATGCATATATATATATATATATATATATACATATATATATATATATATATATATATATATATATATATATATATATATATATATATATATATATGACCTCCAATGAAGACAGGTTTTTTGTGTTTGTCTTCACTGGAGAACCATCTCTAAATGAAGCCAAATGTACGTTTAAAGTTTTTGTAAATCTTCGTTTCTGCGAATATTATTTTTTGCATGTTTCTGTTTTATTTTTTTTTAAGTTAGTTCTAAATTTATGAGTAAACTTAAGTACATATACGATAACATCTTTAATACTACATATTGAGTTAGAACTGATGAAGCTTTAGAAGTATAAAGCGAAACGTCTTCTATAAACTTATGAAGTAGTTGACTTCTGTTTTTTATTTTGCCAACCTGACTGACCGAATAAAACTCCTGAATTCACTAGTTGAATACTTTATTAATATATATATATATATATATATATATATATATATATATATATATATATATATATATATATATAGATATATACATATATATATATATATATATATATATATATATATATATATATATATATATATATATATATATATATACTCGAAATTAGAGTAGGATATAATAAAGTTTTCATTAAAAATGGCAATTCCTTAAAACAACAATAAAGTATTCTGTTAATCCACATACCGAAAATTAAGATTCAGACAATATAATATATATATATATATATATATATATATATATATATATATATATATATATAAATGTACAATTATATATTATATACTATTCTTTGGTAGGTAACTTTCGGGAAGGCGTCAAGTCAAGGATTGGCTAAAGATGGTATAAGCCAGTTTGGGGAAGAACTTTATTCGAAATGTGAAATTTTTCGTGATAGGCTGTCATCTTCATCACCTATAGAAAGAGTTAAAAAACTGGATAACTTCAATGTAGCGTATTCTATTTCACGTAGTTCTTCCTGTTCGGAAGTGCATGTCGGTTAAACCAGCCAGAAACTATCAAAAAGAATAGCTTTATACAAGCGTGATGTTGTGAGGAAGCCTACAAGTACGGCTTTTAGCCAACATATTAAGAATACTGGGCACATTGCCAACTATGAAAATGTGGAAATACTAAAAAGGCTTGACAACCAATTCAAGAGAAATTTCTTAGAAGCTACATCCATAACTGTAGCTCTTCTATGAACTGTAAGAAAGATGTGGAAAACTCGAGTTGTATTTATTCATTTTTGCTTCAACAAGACTTGCCAAGACGTAACAGAACATACACTAACATTAAAGATTGCTATACTCACTAGAAAGTTTGGTTTAGTTATTATCGGCCATAACAAAAAACAATAATAATTAAATGTTAGAGGTCACAAGTTACGTTTAAAACTTTTAGATAATAATAATATCTATTATATTTAAAAGCATTCTAATTATTTATTATAGTATACATGTTTCAATATTTATGGGGAGCACGGAAGGAGCCTCCACGCAAGTGATATTATAAGAACAAAATGTCACTGGCGCTCCCTGGAAACGCCCCTCGGGCGGCCAATCCTTCCACCACTGGATCTGAACAACAAACAAGAATCAACGGCTCTTCTCAGAGCCTACATTGACAATGATGACCATAAACATTGAAGGTATTACTTGTAATAAACAGGAAATTTTGTCTGAGCTGTGTAAAATCCACAAGTGTGATATATTATGCATACAAGAGACTCACCGTGACATATCAGCATATAGACCTAGCATTGAGCAAGAAGAGATATTGATGTAACATCAGCTGAAAAAACATGCTACAACGACATTGAAATCCTGACCGTCGAAATAGGAGCCTGCACAGTGGCAACTGTGTATAAACCACCCTGGAGAGACTTTTTTTTCTCCCCTCCAAAAAATTTCGCTTCTCAAAAAACCAGATTCATTCTCGGTGATTTTAATAGTCCTAATGTTTATTGGGGCTACGCTTCAACTGATAAAAATGAAGATCTTGTGGAATCGTGGGCTGAACAAAACAACCTGGCACTTCTACATGACCCAAAACTGCCCTATTCGTTCCAAAGCAAAATATGGAAGAAATGTTACAACCCTGATCTCACCTTCATCAGCATGTTTTTAGAGGACCGTTGCGTTAGGACTGTAAATAAGCCTATACCGAAGACGCAACATAGGCCCGTAGGAATAACCGTATACAGCGCTATAAAAGCTCCCAAAATCCCTTTCAAACAAAGCCAACTGGAAAAAATTTGCTGATGAATTGGAAACACAGGTGAAAAATATACTCCCGATCCCCAAAAACTATGATGCGTTCATCAAACCTATAAAACGAATCTCATGTAAACACATACCCAGAGGATGTCAACAACATTACATATCTGGTCTGAACGATGAAGCAAAAGACATTATGACAAAGTACACCGAAGAATATAGTAAAGACCCATTTAGTGAAGTTACGGCAGAGATAGGGGAGATACTGCAGCAAATACTAAGTGCCTCCAGACAACAACGGTGGAGCGAGACTTTAAGTGAAATGGATATGACGCACAGCAGTAAGCAGGCTTGGACTATGATCAAAAAACTTAATGGTGATCCCACAGAGATGAAAGAGCTATGTACAATAACGCCAAATCAGATAGCCCATCAACTGCTTCTGAATGGCAAAACAAACAATCGTTGCAAAACGCCAAATATTATAAGAACTCAAGACCAGGAAACAACTCTCTTACGAAACCCATTTACCATCGAAGAGCTAAAAAATGGTATTAACTGTATGAAAAATGGAAAATCACCTAGGGTGGATGAAATCCTAACAGAGCAGATAAAACATCTCGGGCAAAAAGCGAGACAATGGGTGCTCGATCTATTTAACATCTGTCGCTCTACCTACCAGATTCCAAAACTGTGGCGCAAATCAAAAGTAATAGCCCTTCTGAAACCTGGCAAAGACCCTGAACTACCGAGTAGCTACCGTCCGATATCTCTGCTATGCCATTTGTATCAAAACTTCCGAAGTGGAAATCGTTCTCAAAATTTCCGAAGTGGAAATTGAAACGTCAATAAACGTATTTTTATCTTTAATTGTGGCTTATTCCCAGTTAAATAGTAATTAATTTAAAATTCCACAAGAAAATAGCTTCAGACCAATATTGAAAAAATACACATTACATTATAAGAGTATATAACAAAGAAACAATATTATCCGAAGTACAAATGAAAATACCAGGCAACAGTATCGAAATGAAAACAGATTCCAGTGAAACAGAGAAATATGACAAATGCAAAGAGGAGGAAATAATAGTCAATCGACACCTGTAGCCCAATCATCGAGCAAAAAGACAAAAGAGGGAATCTAATCGTTATGAAAAGGAGACCAAAAAAGTGGCCTCTAATGGCGGACGTATCCGGAAATGCAAAGGCGCTAAATTTAAATTTTCCGACACTTATTAACAATAGCTATAAAATATTTGTCAGACGAGAAAGTTTTAATTAAATATTAACGATAATAGTCTAAAAAGTGACACAATTTTTAAAAAACTTCAATATAAATAAAATTTCATGTGACAGTTAGGACAAACAATAACATAACCAAACTAAATTTGATTTCTTAAACAAGGAAAGAGGCTGTCTTTCCTTGTTTAAAGTGGCCTCTCAAGATAGCACTTTCTGTCTAACAATATTTTTGTCCCCACTACCTTTACATTCCCTCTTTTGTCTTTTTGCTCGATGAGCCCAATGCATGGAAGCAAATAGTTTTGCAATTGATGGTTTAAGCTGTATTAAAATTGATTATAAAGAAAAACAAAATTATTAATACATTCTTTCTCTTCTTCTTCTTCTTTTTCTTGTAATGGCCCAAATTCATCTTGGAGAATTTTTCTTTCAAAAACTTCTATGTTTCTTTTTATATTTTCTGTCATCACTTACAATTGTGCTGGCAAGGTGCGACATTATAAAATATTAAAAAAAAAAAACAAGCGACGGAAAAATATCGGTAATGTAAACAAAAACGAATAATACAAAAAACAAAATTTTGACTCAATGATAAAAAAAATTGATATATCTGACATTTTTTTACATAGAAGGAACAAAACAACGATATCTGGAATAAATTACGATTCATATACATATTTAGATGACTTAATTTTTGTCGCTTCTTTTGTAATTCTTCTATTTAATGTCAAAGTTTAGCTAATATCTTAAGTGTACCAGGGATAGGGATAATATACGATTTACAAATGGAATAATATCGATAGACAAAATAGAAAACTCATTTTTTTTTTCAAGGAATAACCAAAATATGTAACATGGTAAAGCAAATAGTATCTAAGTTTAAAATGGAAATGGGCATGACACAATACTACTACCAACACCATGACAAAATAATTCATTTAAAAACTCACAAGAAAAATAATGACGAGAATAAAAGTGAGTATGATTTTGATGATGATAGTGATGAAATGACTGAAGATATATTACGATATACAGTTGCACAATCCATTTTATAAAAAAAATATTTATAATATTTTTTAGATGAATGATTCAGAAAAATTGATTTCATAGATCGGAAAGAAACAATTTGGATTACTTACAAGAACTCTCATTTCTAACACTTTTTAAAATCTGCGCACTAACTAAAGTGTAATATTGTTCAATAATACTTAAATACTTTCAGATATAATAAAACAATTATTACCAGCACAATTCAAAATCGCTTGGCAGAATGATTTTTATTCAATAAAGCAGTAGCTGTTCGTCGATATCGCGTTATAAAGAAATTAAAATTTAATGTTTTTACAATATATTAAATTATATTAATATTAAAATCAGTATAATTTATACTGGAACCAATCAGACACAATAAGAACAAATCTTGGAGATAAATCGACGGAAGCGATCTAGATTATGCGAGGCATTAGACAAGGACATATACTTTCACCTATATTATTCAACCTATATTCAGAGGAAATATTTAGTGAAGCCTTGGAAAATTGGGAACATGGAATCCTTTTAAATGGAGAACGCCTAAACAACATCCGCTATGCAAATGACATCGTTATTTTTGCAGACAGTTTAAACAGTTTACAGCAACTAATAAACAAAGTTAATGAAGTAAGTGAAAGATTTCGATCACAAGTAAACATATCAAAAACTAAATTTATGGTCATCAGCAAAAATAAAATTAGAGACGTACAACTGCGTATCTAGAATACACCAGTGGACCGAGTAAAACAGTTTACCTATTTTGGAACAATAGTAAACGAACAATCGGATCACTCACAAAAAGTAAAATGTAGAATGGAGAAGGTTTGGTGTGCATTCAACAACATGGCCAAAGTCTTTAAAAGCCACAACGTTAATCTGGGAATAAAAGTAAGGCTCCTACGATATTATATCTTCTTGATATTATACTACAAAGTTGAATCCTGGACACTTACTGAAGCGATGGAGAAAATACTTGAAGCCTTCGATATGTGGCTATACAGAAAAAATCCTAAGGATATCATGGATGGACAGGATAATCAACGAGACTTTACTTTGGATAATGAGGAAAGAAAGAGAGGTGATGTATACCATTAAAAGGAGAAATTTAGAAAGTCTAGGACATATAATGAGAAACGGCAGTCAATACAGATTACTGAAAATAATCCTTCAAGGCAAAGTATTCGGAAAGTGAGAAATTAGCAGAAGAAGAATATCATGGTTAAAAAACCTGAGGAAATAATTCTCCACAACTAATCTATTTAAAGCATCAGTTAATAAAATAATTATAACCAGAATGATCGACAATATTCGAAACGAATAGGCACCAAAAGAAGAAGTCATACCATGACAAGAAGAAGACATTGCAGCATCCATAATAATAGTTTTTAATAAGTTTAAACTGATTTCTACATGAGCCATTTTTTTTTAAATATTCTTTTACACTTTTTTATTAAATAAGCTAGGTATGATTAAATTGATATTTGTACAATAGTTCTTATGGAAATTTTGGTATTTCCATTACGTTCAGAAATACATTCTCTCTAATTTATAGTATGCTGCTCTGATCTCCATGCTTTTTTGTTCCATTATTACCATCCTAAGGAGAGGTCCAGTTCTCCGAATATACCACATTACTTATCAAAACTGATACCGTTACAAAAATAATCACAACTATTTTTATAATTAGACTATTACAGCATATTTATTTAAATTACCAATATTTAAAACATATATTTTAGAATTTTACAACAGATAATAGAACCCCCTCTGTGGCTCAGTAGTAAGAGCGCCTACCTTTAAACCTAAAGGTCGTGAGTTCGAATCTCACCTGGGTGGAGAAATTTTCGTTTATTAAAAATTAATGAATGAAAATAATTTCTATCCTTGTGCGATCGGTACTCACCGGAGGGACCGCAGATGTTTGGAAACAATTAGCGTCTCTTAGCAAAGACAATGACGTCGACTTTGCTAAGTATCAAGACAATTACTCTACACACAGTACACTAGGTACCTGACTGTACCATGCCAATGACCATTAGTTGTCGAGGCATTAACTCAATAAAAAAAAACAACAGATAATATCTATAAGGGATCATAACATTATAATGCGCATATGATTTTTCGTTATTTGACGAGCCGCTATTGTCCTCGTAAATTATATAAAGGTCACATAAAGTGTTAAAATGTTATCAATAAATTTACAAGTAATCTTGAATGTAAACTATTGCGATATTTATTTTTGCATCTTTTTTGACATACGATTCCCTATAATATGCTTTCTTAAACGCTTGAAAGGTTTAAATATTAGGTAATCACATCTTGTGGATATTTTTAAATTATTGTATGTAAGTGTAATCTTGTACTATCATAACAAATAAAAGTATCATTATGTTATAGTTTGTTAATCAAAAGTATCCACAGTGTGATAATAAATTATACAAATTTTTGTATATTTTATGTTAAAAGTAACTATTAAACCCTAAAGCATAAATGCTTTAGAGTAATATACATTATAATAATATATAGCATAAATATATCTGTACCTGGGAGGGAACACTGCCCTACTAAGCGCAAAGGGGGTATCTGCCATTTTTGGGTAAATTGAGATTTTGATGTCTATAGTTTATTTTTATGAACGAGAGAGTAATTAGCATAATTTTAACTGGTACCTCCGACCACTCCATGGGCGTGCTCAAGATTAATTGAAAAATTACTTTGAATAATTGTAAATAAAAAGAAGCAATGGAGAAAAAACTTGAAGCCTTCGAGATGTGGCTATACAGGCGAATTCTAAGGATATCATGGACAGACAAGATAACCAACGAGACCGTATTAAGAAGAGTGGGCAAAGAAAGAGAGGTGATGTATACCATTAAAAGGAGAAAGTTGGAATATCTCGGACATATAATGAGAAACAGCACTAAATACAGATTACTGAAAGTAATCCTACAGGGTAAAGTATTCGGAAAGCGAGGAATTGGGAGAAGGAGAATATCATGGTTAAAGAACCTGAGGAAATGGTTCTCCACAACAACAACGAATCTATTTAAAGCATCAGTTAATAAAATAATTATAGCCAGAATGATTGCCAATATTCGGAACGAATAGGCACTGAAAGAAGAAGAATTGTAAAAAATAAATGAATTATTTCAGTGTTATAAAGTGTTATGTGTATGTAAACAAAAGTGACTTCTTTTATCACACACTATATTAGAACTGACTGGCCTACATTAAAAAGGGTTTTAAAAAATTCACATTTTTTTAATTTTTAAAAATTACAAAAGAGAAAAAGAGTTTTTAAAACCGTCTAAGGTATGTTAAATAGATAAATAAAAATATTAATATAAAACTTACAGCTACTTGTTACAAATCCAAATCAGATTCAGAAGATGAACTTTCAGAACCAAGATTTATAATAACTGGCTCAATCATTTTATCAGTAATATTGTCCAGCTTCCACATTTTTTCCTCTTCTTTAATAATGTGATTTACTGCCTTTTCCCAGTTTTCAGGTTTTACATTATTTACGGCCTCCAAAAACAACTGTTTAACATCATGAATTTTAAAAGTGGTATTTTTTCTTGAAACTTCACTCTTTATCTGTGCCCATACCAGTTCAATCGGGTTTAATTCACAATGATATGGTGGGGATCTAAGTACTGTCATTCCACGATTTTTGGCAATTTCATCAATTTCGTATTTTTTAAATTTTTCTTTATGAAGGGCACACAACGAATAAAGTTCCTTTCTTATAAATCCGGGATGGTACGTAATATTTTTTGAACTCAGCCAAGTCTTTTTTTAACCACTTAGTTGTGGGCAGTCCTTCTATAAATCTGGAGTAATAACTTGCATTATCCATTACTATTACACAGTTCTTAGGAAGAAGATCTATCATTTGTTCGAACCATTCTTGAAAGACATCAGCGTTCATGTCTTTATGGTAGTCACCGGTACGAGTTGATTCAAAAGTTAATAAACCACCTTCAACAAAACCGTCTGAACTGCCAATGTGTACTATTATCAGCCTGCGTCCCTTTCCTGAGGGTGGGTTTAAACCACTAGATAAGTTATTTACAAAAGCGTGCCTTTGACTTGTAACAGTTTCATCCTGCCCAAAATTTATTTGGTGTATGACCCTCGTTGATCCATGTTTCATCAAGATAAAATATTTTTCTTTTTTGGTTTCTCATTTCCTTTATGGTTCTAAGAAAATGTCTTCTCCATATGACAATATCGCTTCTTTCTAATAAAATAGACTTTCTGGGATTCTTTTTCCAGCGGAAGCCTATTTCTTTTAAAAGTTTCCATAACGTACTTCGACTCATTTCTGGGTAATCCTTATCATCTCGAACTGAGACAAGAACTTTATCCAATGTTGGAAATTCTTGTCTAAAGAAGAATTTATGCACTTTCCGTCGAAGTCCTTCTTTAAAATGATATTCTATTTGAAATTTTGGTTTCCTTGGAGCATTACGTGGCATTTGAAAACTACCACATTTCTCTTCTTTAATAACTCTGTAAATCGTAGATTTCCCAACACCAAGTGTACTGCTAACTAACTCAACGGTCTCATCAACACTTTCACATAAACGTTTGTCTGTAAATGATTTAAAACAATTAAATATTACTGTTTTTTCATTAACTGTTAAAGGACCAATTTTTCGGCGTTTACACGGCACTTCCAAATTTTCCATAACACTAGTATACACAATAAACTGCACCTTGCAACTGAAGTACCTACTTTTAGTGAACTGTTAAGAATTTTGAATACGCCGCTTGGACCTTCCTACAAAATGGAAACACCCACTATCACATTTTCTGTGGAATAAGTTTAGAAGGTAATTATCTAGTCAATTACTGTCGTAGATTCCTGGAATTGAAGAATTAAATGTTTGATTGTTGAAACCCTTACTTCGTGGAATGCACTCATTTCAGATAAAATAAAACGTTTTATTTTATCTAAAGAATTAAACTTTATTTTGCAAATAGGTAGGTACTTATTAAACTTTTATTGGTTATATACAAGGTGGTCCAGAATTATGTACATTAATTTCTAGAGCTCATAGTACGTCCAAAAATAAGGGTATTTCTTTATGTACACTTTTTTATAAAACTGAATAATAAGGGAGATACAACCCTTTAAAGGGTAAATTGAAATTCTTATTTTTTCAAATATCTTCCAAACGGTTTTGAATACGAAGTTTATATTTTGGGAGTGATTATAAGA